TCCAAGAAATCAAGCTATTTCCCTATACGAGACGACAGAGAGAAAGAGAAGAGAAGAAACCGGGAGCATATCATCCATCACCAAAAGACATATATACTACACCAATTCGTTCATGTGCTATAACATAAAGACATATATACTACATTAATTTAGGAGGAATTCTTTACTAAACACAAACAATTTCCAATGTATATCATCCACCATCAAAAGTCCAAACAATCTTACAAAAGAAATAATAATAATTTTTTTACAAGTCCCGTTTAATAATCACGGTGGTAATCCGTAGTGGACCACATAAAGCCGACAATGAGGCTAAGAAACAAAGAAAATGAAGCATAAATAAAAGTAGTAATTGAGGTTGGATGATCTTAGTTTAGGTTAAATATTTTGTTTCTTAATTTTTTGTGGTTAAAAGGGTGAACCACTGGACCAATCAAACCAGAGTGGTTGTTATTGTAGTTAAAAGGGTGATCTTAGTAGGATTGATTGTTGTTGTAGTCGAGTATCAGAGTAGCAGATTCCCAAGTTTTTATTTACTCTTTGGTCTTGGCAATGAACATAGTTGTGGAGGGATGAAGGAGAGAGCTTTTTTCCTTAAGGTGGCTTCATTTCGAATGAATAAGTTGTTGAGTGGATTGCTTATTGTTAGAAAAATTGAGAATGTGAAAATATTTCTAATGGCATTGCAAAAAATTAAATCACACAACTATATGCATTCAAATAAATAAGTTTTTACATGTTGCAAACACCAAAGTAAAATACGGTCAATAAATGCACTTAGTACTCTACTTTGACTACTTGATGAAATATTACATTTCAACCAAATACCACTATTACCACAAATAATAAGAATATTTCTAAAATCATACGTACAAAATTTCAAACATTGCACATATCATGAATAAAACAATTATTATAAATAATAAACAAACTCATCCACCCAACTGAGTGAGTATGAATTTAGTTCATGACTTAAATTGTTTTATTCATCTAGAATCAAAATGATTAATCATGTTCATCTATGTGTTAATGCTCTACAAATTTATTAACAACTGAAAAATGTTGAAATGAATTCACATCAAATTCAAATTTGTCTGATGCTTGTGCTTTGTTGAGTCCAATTAAGTTGAATTAGCAAGATGTTTGAGGTTTAGCGATAAAACATTCAGAGAACCCAGTTAATTATAGTTTTCACAAAAGCTTCATTGTTTATGATAGTTCTGAAATTTAATATTAATTTAAGAAGTTTACATCGCCTCTACAATGTTCAATATTGCAACGATATGCAATATTTAAATAGATGATTTGAGTTGTGATTCTAAGATTATCATTCATTTACAAGATAGATAGAAATTTAAATAAATCATTAAAGTCTAATTTAAACATGAAAATTGCATTATCAAACACACAAAAATATTTACGAGAGACTTAGTGTGCTAGCTAAAAAGTTTATGATTTTCGTATTTTAGCTTTGGTTAGTGTTAGGATTTTCTTTTATCTTTGTTTGAAGAGGTCTTAGTCGAATCTCAATATTGATGCCTCCTTTTATACAAATAACAATTAAAATTCAATTACAATCTAAATAAAGAAAAAATGTATATTCAATAATACCAAATATAGACAAATTTGGTACCGGTACCGAACTCCCAACCCGAGCTCAATCACATAAAAATTAAATTCAAATAGTTTCCCCCTTATCCCTAGCCAACCACTCGGTTCAGTTTCTTGTTAACTACTAATCGGCCCAACTTACTTGGCCCAACTGCGCTCTTCTTCCTCCCAACTTACGGTTTAAGATGACAGACCCTACGGATTAGGAGAGAGACACCCAACTTCGGGAAAAGGAAAGAGCCACCCACCTTCGCCGCCAACTTCTTCAATTCCTCCTATGACGGCACGCTGACTAGCCTAACTGTACCGTCGTCTTCAGCAACATTTCTCTTCCCCTCACCGTCCTAGAATCGTCTCCAGTTTCCTCTACCGTCGATCTTCAGCCGCATTTCTCTTGTAGACACCACATTTTGTCCGGTCTAACGTCTATCACTGGAATATCAAGTGTGACACAATAAACTTGGTTCATGAAACCAAATCAAGGAGCAACATGGGTCACGGTTAGCGATTCGTGTTAGAGAATTATCCAAAGTTAGATGGTAAAAGCTAGAAGAATATCAACGTAGAATTGGAAGATCGACACAATCATCAAGCATCACTACAAAAGAATTCCAATTTACATATACAATCCTCAAATACAATTTGAAAGAAAAGAACATTTTCTATATACAATTGAAGAACCAAGCCCGGCCCAACAAGAAGAAGATCGTCAGCCAAGTACCTGCCAAACAAAGAAATCAGTTAGCTCAAGCCAAAATCAAGCCCATTGCAAGCCCAGCGCAGCCCATCAACAGGCCAATTCGGCCCAGAATTGCAGATCCAATCGGCCCAACATTATCCAAACCGGTCTGAGCCAATCTTATCCAACCGACTTCGCATTTCAAGGATTGGCAGAAAATTATGCAGAGACAACCTCCAAATCGGCCAATGACCGAGTGACACGTGGATCTATCTCTTGCTATAATAAGGCACTTTGAGCTCTTTGTTGAGGGGACGGTTTGGGGGAAGAGAAACAGAGAAAAAATAGAAACATACAAAAATACAAAGGGATCGTTTTTTTGTTCTTGCCCTTAGCCGAAGTTCACTGGAGAAACTGTGAAATTGAAGGAGCAGATTTGAAGATCGTTGTAGGGAAAGGCCATTCTTAGGCCTTGATCCAGGTTGGTACTTGTATCAACTTCATTTTGTCAAATTTATACAATTGTTACGTTATGCAATCATCCATCTATTTGCATGTTTATACTCTTCAGTATTTTCCAATACAAGCTATGTGATGGCCAAATATTGTTTATCAAGATCTGCTCTTATCAATTTCATTAAGCTCTATCAATAAAGTTTTTTTTCCTTCTCATATTAATAGTTTGGGCTATGAGATTACTATTATGCCGATTGACTTAACTATGACTAGAGTTTGATATTTTGTTTTAAACTACTTTTGCGATGTTTAGATTTTCCTCATTAGTAGCCATACATACATATACATGTACAAATTAAAGTAAAACTAGCCATAGCACATATTTTTTTATAACCATCAAAACAAACTTTTTTCGAAGTCCTCGGATCAACTTGGATCCGAATCCAACAAATCACTCGAACATAATAAATTTGAGAGTTTGAAAACCATACCAATTTCACAAAATCAAAGAGAGTGGCGGTGATTTATAATAGCCAAAATAAGCAATTTAGTCTATGTTAATTAGATAATCATTTTAACAACTTCTAATATATCAAAATTACATCCGAATCCATTCATCAAACCCATCAAAACACCAAAATCCCATTTTTTTCAAAACTCATTCACAAAACCTACTTTCTAATACTCAGATCTGCTAATCAATCCCAAATCAACAATAATAATCCATTTACTTAGTTAAATCATCCCTTGTCATACCAAAACCGAGGTTAGAAGAGCCTTACCCAGATCTGGATTTATTTTCCAAACCTGCAAGAAAGAAGGACGAACTAAATTAATTATTTTTGTTAATAATAAAAATGATAGATTAAAATATATTAAAGATCCGAAATCCTACCTTCCTTTTTTTTGGGGACGAAGATCGTCATCGGCAGGGTCTCGCCGCCGACCAAATCCAAAACACAAGAAAATTAAATAAATATTAGTCGAATCCCAAATAAAATCACCTAAAACGAATTGAAAAGACTTTGCATGTCGAGAATCTTACCTAGATTCGTCTATTTCCGATCGACTTAGAGAGGCTGTAGTCGTCCTCTTGCCTGAACCGAAAGAGGAGCCCTTCCTCATCTTCTGTCGTTTGCCCTTCCTCTCCACCGAAAACCAAAAAACCAAAACGAAGCCCAAATCAGAATCGCACATAAATAAACAAAAATCAAGAGAAAAGGAACATGCATGTCGATTTTACTTACATCTAGAGAGGAAGTCTCCGAGTTTGGTCCATCGTGGTCGGATTCCTCGGCTGGCGGCGAGAAGAGGGAGAATGAGAGGAAGAACGGCAAAAAAAAAACTAGAGAGGCGAGAGTGGGAGAAGAATACGGCGGCTAGGGCTTCGCAAGGTGGGAGGAGAGGGAGAGCAGTGGCGGCGGAGGTATTAGATTGGGTAGGTTTTGCTTCTCTGGAAGAGAAGAGAATTGAGAGAGAGGGAGAGGAAGAATCGAGAGAACGAGAGGGAGAGGGCGGCCGCCGCTGGCCTTAGATTAGGATTAGGTTTTTTTTTAGTCCAAAGAGATGAATTTATACCCATCCATAAAAGACAAAAATGCCCCTAGGGTTTCCTGAATATTACCGTCCCTGCCACCGCGTTTTTGGTCATTTACCAAAATGCCCTTCCCCCATCCCTGAATAAAAAACGAAAATACCAAACTGTGTCCACCGAGATTCGAACTCGGGACTTCGGGTATATGGGTTAGACGCCTAAACCGGTTGGGCTGCTGGCCCTCATGCATAAATATAATCATCTCATTCCTATTTATTCGCTCTAAAATCCTTAATACGAAATGTAGAATTGCGGATTAAGTTTATCTCGTTTTTTTTTATACGTCACAATACTTACTAATAACTAAAATACTTGCATTTTTTGTCATAACCTCATGATAATCTAAATGAATTTTTATTAACAAAATTATAATACGAAATTCACGATCAGTGGAACGTGATTACAATTAAATTTTCAAAGTCCAAACGAACTACGTGGACTTTGATCCCGTCTAACGGGTACGTAGGCAACCGATAAGGTTCGAGTCCAATTAATCAACTAACTTTATCTTTAAATTTTTACGTCAGTGGGCGTATAATTAAATTACAACTAATATGATTAAATCATTAAATGGTCCAGTGGGACCCCTAAAATTACAAATTATTACTAAAATACACCCAACTCGTATAAAACTTATCGACTTAAGTAGTACCGATTTAGGGCGTTGTGGGGGTGTTGCTTAACTTCCCCACACGTAACCGTACTCCCGAACCCAGAACTTCATTTTCGCAGACCAGATCTCGGTTCTGACCCTAAGGTTAGAGCCGATCCTAAGAGTGTTCGATCCACTCCAAGTAAGATCGATGGCGACTCCCAAAAATGCCGACGCGACGACATTCGGACCCCCGGACGGGACGGTTGCGACAGTTGGCGACTCCGCTGGGGACTATTAGAGAGTCGAGCTACATAATTAAGTTCGATAAGTTTTCTATTTTCCTATTAAATGTTGGGTGTTTACTTTCTTATTTGCGCAATTATATTTTCGCAATTTAATTTTGCATTCATGCATAAAAGCTCTATACCCGAGCTATCCTTTTAGAAAATTGAAAGGAGTACCGTGACATCCACAATAGTGGTAGTCGCGCAAAACTTTCTAACCAAGTTGAACTCGGATCCGAGGATGATCTCGAGGGATCCAGCCAGTTCGAAAGAGCTAGGGCGGGATACAACTTGGGAGCCAAATCCCTAGGAATTCCTTAACCAGCATATAGTAAACTTCGAAGCTACCCTCGACCATCCAAAACAATCCCCAAAGCCACCCTAAGACCATGTCGGTACGCCATCCGAAAGCCCTAGGTCTACCAAATAGGATAATAATGTAATGATATATGTTTGCTTATCTAAATGGATGTCTGCTTGCGATTTATTGATATTGTGTTTTATCTTTTACTCGCAAAACTATGTGATTGCATAAATGAAAAATGTTTTCAAAATTCATAAGCATCATTCTGTCATAACATTTTCATTCACTCATTTACAACTTATCATAAAAAGATAAAAATGCATGCATGATGAAAAATAAATTTGCATCATACATCATTAACATTTGCATAAGCATCATGCATACATACCCATAATAAAAATGAAAAATAATTTGTCAGTTTTAAGATGGTTCAGGGTGTCTAAAATCATTCATCCACGAGGAAAGAGAGTCAAGTCTGTAAGTATTTGACAAGATCCAAGGTCGAGCCCATCATGGAGGCATTCCAGAAGAAGATGGGTGATGTTGAAGGAAAGTTGACCGGATTCGATGAAAAGCTATCTGGGTTCAATCAAAAGCTAGAAGGTGTCGACGAGGTGAAAAATCAACTAAATTTGCTGATAGGGATGGTGTCAGCAAAGAACAAAGAGGTAGCAACCAATGACGAAGAAATGTCAGTTTACAATGACGATAATGGCAAGCCACGTAATGGGGGCAATTCGGGAAAGAAATTCATCAGTATACCCATAAACGAGAAGCTTGATAAAGACAAAATTGGATCATCAAAACTTGATGACTCGCAAGGGAGACGGAAGTTAAAAGAAACTGTGATCGATGCCACATCAAAAGAAAAACTTGAACGACTCGATGAACGAATAAGAGCTATAGAAGGAACGGAGTCATACGGGCCCACAGATGCATCGCAATTATGTTTGGTCCCAGATGTGATAATACCTCACAAATTCAAAATGCCAGAATTTGAAAAGTACGAAGGTGCTACTTGCCCTAGAAGTCACATGGTTATGTACTGCAACAAGATGGCTAACCATATTCGGGATGAAAAATTGATGATACATTGCTTCCAGAATAGCTTAAGCGGTCCAGCTCTAAGATGGTATATGCAACTCGAAAGATCAAAGGTGAAGAGATGGCAAGATCTGGCTGATGCATTCTTCAGACACTATAAGCATAACCAAGATTTAGCTCCAGACAGGGAGGACTTGCGTAATATGGAAAAACATGAGAAAGAATCTTTTCGCGAATACGCCCACAGATGGCGAACAAAAGCCGTAGATGTTCAACCTCCTCTATCAGAGAAAGAAATGGTGTCAATCTTCTTCGACACACTCAAGCCTCCCTACTACAACAACATGGTAGGAATAACCACGACTAACTTTATCGATCTTTTGATAATCGGTGAAAGGATAGAAAAAGGGATCCGACAAGGCAAGATGGAAATACCAGAAGGCTCCGCGAGACTAAGCCAGAACAAGAGAAAGGAAGAAGAGGTATATTCATCCCACAAAGAAGCAAAAGAGAAAACACGAAAAAGCAATTTTCAAAATAATCAAGCCCTCCCATATGTTGCAACTACCACACCAATATTGCAACCACCAAACTTCATGAAATCAACGATCCAAAATCCCACACCAATACCACGACAAGGTGCCAATCGAGATGTTAGTATCACAAGGAAAGCAAAAAGGGTATTTGACCCTATCCCGGTCACGTATACCGAACTCTTCCCTCGATTACTCCATGATCATCTAATCACCCCCATTCCGGGCGAGACTCTGCAACCTCCATTTCCAAGGTGGTATAGGTTCGACAAGCATTGCGATTACCATTCGGGAGTCCAAGGGCATTCAGTGGAAAATTGCAACGCTCTGAAGATAAAAGTTCAAGACATGGTAAACGCCGGATGGTTGAAGTTTGAATAAGAGGAGATCGTTTACACGTCAACAACAACCTGCTGCAGACTCATGGAAGTCAATAAGCATAACCCCAAATAAATATCGAGATAGCTCGCCACGATAAAAATGTATCACCTTTTGCTTTCATCATGAGAAATAAAAGGTTACTCATGTTTCTACCTTCTCGGAGCATTTCGTGATCATTATCAATCTCGATTTTGGATTTCGCATCAATGGTCCCTATCTTTCCAAGTAATAAAAATACATTTCACGAATTTTGACTTGAATTCTCTGAAATAAATCATAAATCAATTTCATGTGTTCAAATTAAGCCATGGGATTATCATACCAAACAACTATGAACACCCTACTGGTGTTGAGAGATTACGAACACCCTACTGGTGTCACGATTTTGAACACCCCACGGGTGTTGAGAGTACAAAATGCCAACTTATGTTGAGTATATAAACACCCCACTGGAGTCCGTAAATCATGTGAGATGATAGTCAAGGGATGTAGTGGGGATACGACATCAGGCTATTTTAAGAATCCTGTCACATTTAGCCGAATCTCGTCACCAAAATAGTGTTTGAAAAACTATCCAATTAGCCCAGCCATCAAGAGAGACACTCATGTTGTCAGCCATCAAGACAAAGTCATAACCCTTTTGTGATCGTGCCCAAAAACACAAAGTTCAGTTGAAGACTTAGTGAAACACATAGGGGCATAACAAAGTCAAGCAAGTCTCACAAATGTGAAAATTTCAAAAGTGAAGCAACAACAAAAAAAGCATTGTGGGACTTACAACTAGATGCCCCTGTCTATGTTATCTAAAGTCATAACCACTCAGCCAAGAGATCTTCCAACCAATATCCAAGGAAGAAGCTCCAGCAAAAGCTTACGTGATAAGAAAAAAAACCATGCAGTCACTACCACTACACAAAAGAACTCCTCAGCATACCATTCTGGGTTGGAGCAAGAGTTCATTTGCTTCCTACTCATTCTTGCCTCTCAAAACCAATATTTTAAGAAAAGGGGGCAATACAAGCTATAGATATACTCTCTGGAAACCACCAACATTTCCAAGAAAAAGAAAGACTTCCTCGATGAGAGAAACTACAAACCTTATACGAATCCCCTATTCCCATCAATTAGCCACATATCTTTGGGGGCAAGCCAAAATTTCTCGACAAAAGTCACGAGATGGCCAAAACCTCTCAAATATCCTCATTGTATCATTGTCTCAACCCTGCTACAGGACAGTAAAAATTTCAGGATAAGAAGATCCCACAGTCAAAATCAACCAATAACCTCATTTCATGAAAAATCATATACCTCCACGACGAGACCATATGAGATCACCTAAATCAACCACACAAAGCTCTCTTGTTGAGAAAAACCTTAACCTCAAGCTCATGTGGCCGTCAATATAGACAGAGTCATCTCATGGTGACAGGAATCTTGATAGTAGTCGAAGTGTCGTAAACTTAAAACATCCATAGGAATGAGTGAAAGTGGAAAAGAGGTCAAGGACGAGAGTGAGAGATCACGGATATTCTCATGGCTCGATTTGCACTCTTCTTGAAACAAAAACAATTATGAGCATTATGAAAACAAAATTTATGGCAAAAGTCACATGAGAAAATGTATTTGCTCAATTTGCACACACTACCTTAAACAAGAGCTTTACAATCTAAAAATGAGTTTTCACTTTGTTACTCCAACAAAGTTATTTTCACACGTTGTTGCATTTATCCCAAGTCGAGGATGATAAAAATCACTCTTCATTCCGGAAGATGGAAAATGAGTAAGATATCCTTGGGGGCAAATTGGGGGTAACTTAAAGAAAGTTCAAGGGACTAAGTAGCTAGACTACTCAACTTTCAGCCCCCTATTTATGAAGAAATTTTGAAGAACTCGGAGACACTCAAGTTCCATGAGACCAGGTGGTCAGCTAAATTTTTCTTGGATGACATACTGACAAGAAGAAGCACAATATACTCTGTCACCAAGAAAGACAACCTCATAAGAGACCCATGTGACCTACATTGGGCATCAAGAAAGAAAGACAGAACGACATGGTACCTCAGGGTTCCCTATATCCGAGATAGGCTCAATCAAAAGTATATTATGAAAAGCCAATCCTAACAAGACATACCTCAAGATGATAGATCTTCTTAACCAAGCAAATATCGCTTACATTGCAACAAATACCACCAAGGGCAGTGCCCCCTGGCCGAGCTAATTATTCCAAACCCTAAGCCTAAGAGGTTGGGTTTCCCAGACATCATGCACCAAAGCAACAAAGTACCCAATATCCCTACCTCTGCACCATAGAGGCGGATACCCAAGAGCTCTCACTATCGAGTTTCGATTTCAATTAAGGATCAAGTCTTCCAAAGACAATGACAAAATTCCTGGTGGATGATCGATTTAAAGAAACCCAGGACCAACAACTAAAACAATGTATTTTGCATTCATGACATCATTATTTAACATGATACATGATAGTGTCATTTCTAAAAAAACATGTGCATCTTTACTTTACACATGCATTGAGCATCTCATCAGAACCTCAGAAGTTGTCTGTTTCAACTTTCAAAGTCTACCAAGATCCAAGAAAATATCGCATCTAATTTCGTACTAGAAAACCTGAAGTCCCCGCGTCGGCGAACGCTATATAAACACGTCCCGCGTTGGCGAACGCTATAGAAACACGTCCCCGCGTTGGCGAGCGCTATATAAACACGTCCTCGCGTTGATGAACGCTATACAAACCACGTCCTCGCGTTGGCGAACGCTATACCAAATACGTCCCCGCGTTGGCAAGCGCTATATAAACATGTCTCCGCGTTGGCGAACGCTATAAAAAAAACAACTCCGCGTTGGCGAACGCTTATATAAAAACGTCAACCCGCATCATTAACCATCATCTAAATTTCTCGCGTTGGCAAACGCTATATAAAAATGTAATTTCCCGCGTTGACGAACGCTATATAAAAAAGTAAATTTCCCGCGTTGGCAAACGCTATATAAAAATGCAATTTCACGCATTAGCAAACAAATTTGCAAAAACGTAAAACTCGCGTTGGCAAACGCTATAGAAAAATGTGATTTCGTTACAATCAACATTCGCATTTCGATTACAAACAATTACCAGCTTTTCTCACTACACTCAAGCATCACTCTTTTTGTGATACAACGCAATCGCCATCAGAGTTTTACAAAATGTGGTGTCTTATCAAGAACTTTGTATAACTCTTTATACAAAGAGATATACAAAGGGGGGCAACTGTAGACACCACATTTTGTCCGGTCTAACGTCTATCACTGGAATATCAAGTGTGACACAATAAACTTGGTTCATGAAACCAAATCAAGGAGCAACATGGGTCACGGTTAGCGATTCGTGTTAGAGAATTATCCAAAGTTAGATGGTAAAAGCTAGAAGAATATCAACGTAGAATTGGAAGATCGACACAATCATCAAGCATCACTACAAAAGAATTCCAATTTACATATACAATCCTCAAATACAATTTGAAAGAAAAGAACATTTTCTATATACAATTGAAGAACCAAGCCCGGCCCAACAAGAAGAAGATCGTCAGCCAAGTACCTGCCAAACAAAGAAATCAGTTAGCTCAAGCCAAAATCAAGCCCATTGCAAGCCCAGCGCAGCCCATCAACAGGCCAATTCGGCCCAGAATTGCAGATCCAATCGGCCCAACATTATCCAAACCGGTCTGAGCCAATCTTATCCAACCGACTTCGCATTTCAAGGATTGGCAGAAAATTATGCAGAGACAACCTCCAAATCGGCCAATGACCGAGTGACACGTGGATCTATCTCTTGCTATAATAAGGCACTTTGAGCTCTTTGTTGAGGGGACGGTTTGGGGGAAGAGAAACAGAGAAAAAATAGAAACATACAAAAATACAAAGGGATCGTTTTTTTGTTCTTGCCCTTAGCCGAAGTTCACTGGAGAAACTGTGAAATTGAAGGAGCAGATTTGAAGATCGTTGTAGGGAAAGGCCATTCTTAGGCCTTGATCCAGGTTGGTACTTGTATCAACTTCATTTTGTCAAATTTATACAATTGTTACGTTATGCAATCATCCATCTATTTGCATGTTTATACTCTTCAGTATTTTCCAATACAAGCTATGTGATGGCCAAATATTGTTTATCAAGATCTGCTCTTATCAATTTCATTAAGCTCTATCAATAAAGTTTTTTTTCCTTCTCATATTAATAGTTTGGGCTATGAGATTACTATTATGCCGATTGACTTAACTATGACTAGAGTTTGATATTTTGTTTTAAACTACTTTTGCGATGTTTAGATTTTCCTCATTAGTAGCCATACATACATATACATGTACAAATTAAAGTAAAACTAGCCATAGCACATATTTTTTTATAACCATCAAAACAAACTTTTTTCGAAGTCCTCGGATCAACTTGGATCCGAATCCAACAAATCACTCGAACATAATAAATTTGAGAGTTTGAAAACCATACCAATTTCACAAAATCAAAGAGAGTGGCGGTGATTTATAATAGCCAAAATAAGCAATTTAGTCTATGTTAATTAGATAATCATTTTAACAACTTCTAATATATCAAAATTACATCCGAATCCATTCATCAAACCCATCAAAACACCAAAATCCCATTTTTTTCAAAACTCATTCACAAAACCTACTTTCTAATACTCAGATCTGCTAATCAATCCCAAATCAACAATAATAATCCATTTACTTAGTTAAATCATCCCTTGTCATACCAAAACCGAGGTTAGAAGAGCCTTACCCAGATCTGGATTTATTTTCCAAACCTGCAAGAAAGAAGGACGAACTAAATTAATTATTTTTGTTAATAATAAAAATGATAGATTAAAATATATTAAAGATCCGAAATCCTACCTTCCTTTTTTTTGGGGACGAAGATCGTCATCGGCAGGGTCTCGCCGCCGACCAAATCCAAAACACAAGAAAATTAAATAAATATTAGTCGAATCCCAAATAAAATCACCTAAAACGAATTGAAAAGACTTTGCATGTCGAGAATCTTACCTAGATTCGTCTATTTCCGATCGACTTAGAGAGGCTGTAGTCGTCCTCTTGCCTGAACCGAAAGAGGAGCCCTTCCTCATCTTCTGTCGTTTGCCCTTCCTCTCCACCGAAAACCAAAAAACCAAAACGAAGCCCAAATCAGAATCGCACATAAATAAACAAAAATCAAGAGAAAAGGAACATGCATGTCGATTTT